TTATTAAGTCAACACTAGTTCGTTAATAGACTACAGTATTGTTTGCTGTACACAACATACCGAGTATTCCAAATAAATAAAAATAAATGTATGCCTAATGTGAATACAAGTGTGTCACAGTAAACGGTGAAAACTATTGGAAATAACAAAAAATTAGCAATAAGAAAATAAAAATATAGTGAAAAGAAGACCTTTGGAAATAACAAAAAATAAACAAGAGGAAATTTTAAATATAGTGAAAAGTACAAAATGAAAAAAATGCCAACAGCACGTGGTGTTCCCAAGCGGTCACCCATCCAAGTACTAACCACGCCCGACGTTGCTTGACTTCGGTGATCGGACGAGAACCGGTATATTCAACGTGGTATGGCCGTTGGCGAGTGCTGGAAGTACCTGTCACCATCCTGAGTGAACCATCATTATTCTAACTGACAGAGCAATCAGCAATACATTATCAGTTTTATAAATCAAAATGGATAAAAACTCGAAAATTAGTGGATTCGCCAGATCCGTGGTAGGATCCTAGTCAGTTTTGCGCTACGAAATTCATCGACTGTTAAAAAAGTAAATAACAATCAACATTGAATAATATAACGTATTGCACGATTTAATATTATGAAAAATTTAGTCCGTTTCTTTTTTGTTTACAGGTTATTGCGCTACGTTATTCTTATTCAACGATTGTTAACAAAAATATCATTTATTTACGTACACTACCGCTGTTGTTTGTATAAAATAACGAATGACTTTCTCTACCTACTCACTATACACCCCATTGGAGTTGAATGTGTATTATTAGGGACAGCGCGAACGCAGTCCCCGCTACCAAAAATTACGCGCCCGAGATACCCACATTTGGGGCATTCGCAGGAGTCAGCCCGACCGTAGTGCAATGGAAGGGCCTCATCCTGGGGGAACCGCCTTCTTGATCACGGTAACCCCTACGCCAGGTAAGTATGAGTGCGAGAGCGACGAAATGGGCACCCGGCTCTGGCGTGTAGCGGGTATCAGTGCGAGAACCGATCCACACTACAGCTGTAACGGTGTCGGTAATTGTAAATTTATGTCGCCAAAATCGTGTCGTCGTCTTGAAAACGGTTAACGGTAAACGAATCCCGAGGTTTCAAAAAGAAAAACCTCTGGGCAACGTGTAAACACCGAGCGAAACCGTCCACGTCGTCCAGACCAACAGTGGCTGGCTCGGACACGTCGTCGGTCACTGGCTGCGCCGGCGCGGAGACGAGGTGAAACCACGCTATAGAAACCGATCGGCAAACGGTCGCGTGCTGTTTGCGACTTATTTCGCTTAGACTGTGACTGAGCTCCTTGCAGAACAGCGTCTTTACTGAGGTCCGAGTCCGGCGCGAGATTGTCTGTCGATAGTGTTTATATATTGATTCTCACAGGGTTGTGTACGATCGAATTCGGCTGGACCGTCGGTCGTGACCGACGTCGTGTCAAGATCATACTTCACAGGATCATTTCTGTAGTAAGATCTTCATTTATACACTCCATTACGGAAGTGGATACCAGCCACGATGAAGAGTTACGGTCCATCTCTCTGAGCGTGAGGCAGACGAGGTCCCGGGCCCTAGCGGCACGGGAGCACGTCATCGATGATCGTTCAGCCTTTACCTTAGGGTACTGGTCGAGAGGTGGACGTTCAGAGTGGTAAAAAAAAAAAAATAAATGAAATAAACAACTTATAATATCAATCTTCAATTGAATTGAATACAAGCGTGTCATAGGTTTTTACACGACAGTATATTCGTGCTCAGTGAGGTGATAATCAATCAACATTGTACTCGAGTGAGTGGCCCAATCCCATAAGGATCGGGCGCTAATTAAAAATTTGTTTATAGACTCATCGTGTGTTCCCCTCCACGGAAATCTTTAGTAAAAGGCGAAAGATTTATTCGTTTTGAAGGGAAACCAGAGTGGAGCGCGTGACGAAACCCGAGCGACCCACTAGTACTGGACTCAGTTAGAGCCGGCGAGAGCCAACTGACCGAATGTCCACACGTAAAACACGATGTTACGAAATATACAACAATCTAGACAAACGGGACCCGTCACAGTGGACGTATCTTATTGGAACACCAGTCGGCAAGAGTGCCGATTGCGCGTGTCACCACTGTTACTAAACTGCGCCGCCGGCCGGGAACGAGGTGAGCCTGAGCCGGGCTGCAGCCTCGTCGTGGCGACGCGACGTGGACCTCGCGCTGCGCTACTAGCGCTCCACACGGCGTGAACTAGCACTGCACGTGTGTGACGAGGAGGAGGGGGACGACGACGTTCGACGAGACACCGTGTATCATGATTTTCAGTAAAATTGTAGTAAAAAAGTAAATGGAATGAAATAAAAATGAAAACGAAAACGAAAATGAAAATGAAAATAAAAATGATAATAACAAAGAAATGAATTTCTAGAATAAAAAAAAAATGAAACAACACACTAAGAGAGAGTGAATTTCTGGGCGGCGGCAATTTCCTTTGATCGAGATAGAATTATATAGCCCGATCGGTAAACTGACGGTATTAAACACAATATGTCGTTTTACGTGGTAGAAAAGTGGGCGTGGCCTGTTTTGTTTGATTCGACCAATAGGAGAAGAGTTGGGTAGTTCTCGCAAAGTGCATAGTTCAGACCGAGAGGCGGACGCGACAAACGCGATTCTCCCGTTAACATATTCGACCTGTGCACGACGGACACGATAGCAGTCGTTAAAAAGAATGGCGATTCGACGTGTTACAGATTTTTACACTATCTCGTTATTATCGGTGACGCGACTGCCGGATAGCGGGAGCCAGCGACGAGACCGACGACGAACGAACCCTCTGACGTGGACCTAGTCTCGCGACGCTAGCGCTACAACCGGCGTGGACAGCGTGGACAGAACTGGCATTAGCACCCGGACTGTTCGGGGCCCGAGTCGGTTCTCGTACGCGTTCGCAGACGAGAGTGTTGAAATAAGTCGATCAACAACACACTCACGTACACATAGTACGGAAACAGTTGTTGTTATTCTCTCGTCCTGTCGCAGTTGGAAGCCCTTTTTTCAGTATTTTCTACTCCGGTTTGCCGCCGACGGTGTCCGAAGGCCCCGCGATTCCGTGAAAAAACTCACACCAACGGGGGTGGTTGCAAAGTGGCCGAGAATTTTGAAAATCCTCGGTCAAGTATCGCTTCTCGGCCTGTTGGCTAAGATCAAAGTGTAGTATCTGTTCTTATCAGCTTAACATCTGATACGTCCCTCATCGAGGGACCAGTTTGTTAAACTGATTTTTGGAAATCGACGGAGTGCTAGGAGCTTGCTCCACCTCTGTCACGGGTTGACCCGGCATTGCAGTACCGCCGGGACCGGCCCACCATAATACCATATCGTACGTTCAACTAATAATAAGTAGTACAGAGATATTGACACGCATCAATTAATTGATTCTAAGTACTGCATTGTAAAAATGTAGACCGAATAAATTATTATCGACGTTCGAGCGACCGCTGACGAGACGACACGACGGGTCGTTCATGTTACCGTTGTTATTAAGTCAACACTAGTTCGTTAATAGACTACAGTATTGTTTGCTGTACACAACATACCGAGTATTCCAAATAAATAAAAATAAATGTATGCCTAATGTGAATACAAGTGTGTCACAGTAAACGGTGAAAAACTATTGGAAATAACAAAAAATTAGCAATAAGAAAATAAAAATATAGTGAAAAGAAGACCTTTGGAAATAACAAAAAATAAACAAGAGGAAATTTTAAATATAGTGAAAAGTACAAAATGAAAAAAATGCCAACAGCACGTGGTGTTCCCAAGCGGTCACCCATCCAAGTACTAACCACGCCCGACGTTGCTTGACTTCGGTGATCGGACGAGAACCGGTATATTCAACGTGGTATGGCCGTTGGCGAGTGCTGGAAGTACCTGTCACCATCCTGAGTGAACCATCATTATTCTAACTGACAGAGCAATCAGCAATACATTATCAGTTTTATAAATCAAAATGGATAAAAACTCGAAAATTAGTGATTCGCCAGATCCGTGGTAGGATCCTAGTCAGTTTTGCGCTACGAAATTCATCGACTGTTAAAAAAGTAAATAACAATCAACATTGAATAATATAACGTATTGCACGATTTAATATTATGAAAAATTTAGTCCGTTTCTTTTTTGTTTACAGGTTATTGCGCTACGTTATTCTTATTCAACGATTGTTAACAAAAATATCATTTATTTACGTACACTACCGCTGTTGTTTGTATAAAATAACGAATGACTTTCTCTACCTACTCACTATACACCCCATTGGAGTTGAATGTGTATTATTAGGGACAGCGCGAACGCAGTCCCCGCTACCAAAAATTACGCGCCCGAGATACCCACATTTGGGGCATTCGCAGGAGTCAGCCCGACCGTAGTGCAATGGAAGGGCCTCATCCTGGGGGAACCGCCTTCTTGATCACGGTAACCCCTACGCCAGGTAAGTATGAGTGCGAGAGCGACGAAATGGGCACCCGGCTCTGGCGTGTAGCGGGTATCAGTGCGAGAACCGATCCACACTACAGCTGTAACGGTGTCGGTAATTGTAAATTTATGTCGCCAAAATCGTGTCGTCGTCTTGAAAACGGTTAACGGTAAACGAATCCCGAGGTTTCAAAAAGAAAAACCTCTGGGCAACGTGTAAACACCGAGCGAAACCGTCCACGTCGTCCAGACCAACAGTGGCTGGCTCGGACACGTCGTCGGTCACTGGCTGCGCCGGCGCGGAGACGAGGTGAAACCACGCTATAGAAACCGATCGGCAAACGGTCGCGTGCTGTTTGCGACTTATTTCGCTTAGACTGTGACTGAGCTCCTTGCAGAACAGCGTCTTTACTGAGGTCCGAGTCCGGCGCGAGATTGTCTGTCGATAGTGTTTATATATTGATTCTCACAGGGTTGTGTACGATCGAATTCGGCTGGACCGTCGGTCGTGACCGACGTCGTGTCAAGATCATACTTCACAGGATCATTTCTGTAGTAAGATCTTCATTTATACACTCCATTACGGAAGTGGATACCAGCCACGATGAAGAGTTACGGTCCATCTCTCTGAGCGTGAGGCAGACGAGGTCCCGGGCCCTAGCGGCACGGGAGCACGTCATCGATGATCGTTTCAGCCTTTACCTTAGGGTACTGGTCGAGAGGTGGACGTTCAGAGTGGTAAAAAAAAAAAATAAATGAAATAAACAACTTATAATATCAATCTTCAATTGAATTGAATACAAGCGTGTCATAGGTTTTTACACGACAGTATATTCGTGCTCAGTGAGGTGATAATCAATCAACATTGTACTCGAGTGAGTGGCCCCAATCCCATAAGGATCGGGCGCTAATTAAAAATTTGTTTATAGACTCATCGTGTGTTCCCCTCCACGGAAATCTTTAGTAAAAGGCGAAAGATTTATTCGTTTTGAAGGGAAACCAGAGTGGAGCGCGTGACGAAAACCCGAGCGACCCACTAGTACTGGACTCAGTTAGAGCCGGCGAGAGCCAACTGACACGAATGTCCACACGTAAACACGATGTTACGAAATATACAACAATCTAGACAAACGGGACCCGTCACAGTGGACGTATCTTATTGGAACACCAGTCGGCAAGAGTGCCGATTGCGCGTGTCACCACTGTTACTAAACTGCGCCGCCGGCCGGGAACGAGGTGAGCCTGAGCCGGGCTGCAGCCTCGTCGTGGCGACGCGACGTGGACCTCGCGCTTGCGCTACTAGCGCTCCACACGGCGTGAACTAGCACTGCACGTGTGTGACGAGGAGGAGGGGGACGACGACGTTCGACGAGACACCGTGTATCATGATTTTCAGTAAAATTGTAGTAAAAAAGTAAATGGAATGAAATAAAAATGAAAACGAAAACGAAAATGAAAATGAAAATAAAATGATAATAACAAAGAAATGAATTTCTAGAATAAAAAAAAAATGAAACAACACACTAAGAGAGAGTGAATTTCTGGGCGGCGGCAATTTCCTTTGATCGAGATAGAATTATATAGCCCGATCGGTAAACTGACGGTATTAAACACAATATGTCGTTTTACGTGGTAGAAAAGTGGGCGTGGCCTGTTTTGTTTTGATTCGACCAATAGGAGAAGAGTTGGGTAGTTCTCGCAAAGTGCATAGTTCAGACCGAGAGGCGGACGCGACAAACGCGATTCTCCCGTTAACATATTCGACCTGTGCACGACGGACACGATAGCAGTCGTTAAAAAGAATGGCGATTCGACGTGTTACAGATTTTTACACTATCTCGTATTATCGGTGACGCGACTGCCGGATAGCGGGAGCCAGCGACGAGACCGACGACGAACGAACCCTCTGACGTGGACTAGTCTCGCGACGCTAGCGCTACAACCGGCGTGGACAGCGTGGACAGAACTGGCATTAGCACCCGGACTGTTCGGGGCCCGAGTCGGTTCTCGTACGCGTTCGCAGACGAGAGTGTTGAAATAAGTCGATCAACAACACACTCACGTACACATAGTACGGAAACAGTTGTTGTTATTCTCTCGTCCTGTCGCAGTTGGAAGCCCTTTTTTCAGTATTTTCTACTCCGGTTTGCCGCCGACGGTGTCCGAAGGCCCCGCGATTCCGTGAAAAACTCACACCAACGGGGGTGGTTGCAAAGTGGCCGAGAATTTTGAAAATCCTCGGTCAAGTATCGCTTCTCGGCCTGTTGGCTAAGATCAAAGTGTAGTATCTGTTCTTATCAGCTTAACATCTGATACGTCCCTCATCGAGGGACCAGTTTGTTAAACTGATTTTTGGAAATCGACGGAGTGCTAGGAGCTTGCTCCACCTCTGTCACGGTTGACCCGGCATTGCAGTACCGCCGGGACCGGCCCACCATAATACCATATCGTACGTTCAACTAATAATAAGTAGTACAGAGATATTGACACGCATCAATTAATTGATTCTAAGTACTGCATTGTAAAAATGTAGACCGAATAAATTATTATCGACGTTCGAGCGACCGCTGACGAGACGACACGACGGGTCGTTCATGTTACCGTTGTTATTAAGTCAACACTAGTTCGTTAATAGACTACAGTATTGTTTGCTGTACACAACATACCGAGTATTCCAAATAAATAAAAATAAATGTATGCCTAATGTGAATACAAGTGTGTCACAGTAAACGGTGAAAACTATTGGAAATAACAAAAAATTAGCAATAAGAAAATAAAAATATAGTGAAAAGAAGACCTTTGGAAATAACAAAAAATAAACAAGAGGAAATTTTAAATATAGTGAAAAGTACAAAATGAAAAAAATGCCAACAGCACGTGGTGTTCCCAAGCGGTCACCCATCCAAGTACTAACCACGCCCGACGTTGCTTGACTTCGGTGATCGGACGAGAACCGGTATATTCAACGTGGTATGGCCGTTGGCGAGTGCTGGAAGTACCTGTCACCATCCTGAGTGAACCATCATTATTCTAACTGACAGAGCAATCAGCAATACATTATCAGTTTTATAAATCAAAATGGATAAAAACTCGAAAATTAGTGGATTCGCCAGATCCGTGGTAGGATCCTAGTCAGTTTTGCGCTACGAAATTCATCGACTGTTAAAAAAGTAAATAACAATCAACATTGAATAATATAACGTATTGCACGATTTAATATTATGAAAAATTTAGTCCGTTTCTTTTTTGTTTACAGGTTATTGCGCTACGTTATTCTTATTCAACGATTGTTAACAAAAATATCATTTATTTACGTACACTACCGCTGTTGTTTGTATAAAATAACGAATGACTTTCTCTACCTACTCACTATACACCCCATTGGAGTTGAATGTGTATTATTAGGGACAGCGCGAACGCAGTCCCCGCTACCAAAAATTACGCGCCCGAGATACCCACATTTGGGGCATTCGCAGGAGTCAGCCCGACCGTAGTGCAATGGAAGGGCCTCATCCTGGGGGAACCGCCTTCTTGATCACGGTAACCCCTACGCCAGGTAAGTATGAGTGCGAGAGCGACGAAATGGGCACCCGGCTCTGGCGTGTAGCGGGTATCAGTGCGAGAACCGATCCACACTACAGCTGTAACGGTGTCGGTAATTGTAAATTTATGTCGCCAAAATCGTGTCGTCGTCTTGAAAACGGTTAACGGTAAACGAATCCCGAGGTTTCAAAAAGAAAAACCTCTGGGCAACGTGTAAACACCGAGCGAAACCGTCCACGTCGTCCAGACCAACAGTGGCTGGCTCGGACACGTCGTCGGTCACTGGGCTGCGCCGGCGCGGAGACGAGGTGAAACCACGCTATAGAAACCGATCGGCAAACGGTCGCGTGCTGTTTGCGACTTATTTCGCTTAGACTGTGACTGAGCTCCTTGCAGAACAGCGTCTTTACTGAGGTCCGAGTCCGGCGCGAGATTGTCTGTCGATTGTGTTTATATATTGATTCTCACAGGGTTGTGTACGATCGAATTCGGCTGGGACCGTCGGTCGTGACCGACGTCGTGTCAAGATCATACTTCACAGGATCATTTCTGTAGTAAGATCTTCATTTATACACTCCATTACGGAAGTGGATACCAGCCACGATGAAGAGTTACGGTCCATCTCTCTGAGCGTGAGGCAGACGAGGTCCCGGGCCCTAGCGGCACGGGAGCACGTCATCGATGATCGTTCAGCCTTTACCTTAGGGTACTGGTCGAGAGGTGGACGTTCAGAGTGGTAAAAAAAAAAAAATAAATGAAATAAACAACTTATAATATCAATCTTCAATTGAATTGAATACAAGCGTGTCATAGGTTTTTACACGACAGTATATTCGTGCTCAGTGAGGTGATAATCAATCAACATTGTACTCGAGTGAGTGGCCCAATCCCATAAGGATCGGGCGCTAATTAAAA